AATTTATTGCTTTTTCAGATTTGTATTGTTTAAAAAACATTATGATAAGTACTTGCATCTCTCTCAGAAATATGAGGAGGCCAGAAATATTGCTTATTATTTAGAAGAGAAATATCATGAAGTCAAGGTAATATTTTAATTTGTTTTTTTTTGAAAAATGCTTAAATATATTTCAATTTTTTTCAGATGGAAAGAGATGACTTAATACAGCAAAGAGATAAATTAACTAAAAGGCTGGAATCAAATGAATCATTGCTCAGAGAAAAAGAAGACGAGGTTTTTCTTCAGTTTGAAAGAGTTGTTTACTTGGAAGATCAATGTGATAAGGTAAACCAAAGTTGTTTTGTATGAATAATTTGAAGTACTCAAGAAAAAGAATTCCAAGGTTGATTGGCCTGTTGTACCACTAAAATGGTAGCAATGTTACATGTTTTGCATATGCTTAAAATTTTTATGAACTTAGAATTAAAATGTGGCATATTTGTTATTCATAAGGTGTTATTGGGCTACAAGCTTTTACCACCATTGCATTGTAACAGGTGTCCTAGATTACATACCTTCAAAAACATAATCTGATTACAAATGCTTGATTTATGAGATATACTGTCCCATTACTGTTTTCGTTTACTAGGAGCCAACTAGGTTTTTTTCAAATTATATTCTTTTTTATTCACTAATATAAAAGAAAAAAAATGGTAACGTATTGTCCTTGTATTAAATTACTAAATATTATTTGTTGTTATGGTTTATTAAAACTTCATTGTTGAAACACTCAAAAAGTAGTAAATTGAAATAATCAAAGGACCCTATTTCAAAAACTGACCTATTATACTGGAACGAAAATGCATTTTATACTGTGTTGATGAAGTGGCTGTGGAAAGATAGTCATTTTCCCACTGTGTTTATGCTACATATTCGTAAATTAATCAAAACGATGCTGCACTACCAATTGTTGATGTAGACATGTTTGAAAATCAACCAAATGCGACTATACTTGCATAAGTTTCTACACCAAGGGTTAACCAGCCATTTAACCAGTGTTCACTATTTTGGTGGCGTCACACCAAAATCTTAAATTTATGAACACATGGAAACATGTTTCTTAGGAAACACATTTTACTTAATTAAACAACACTGTTATACTTTATCTACGGTTATTATTATAATGATGAAAGAAAAATGGATTGAGCCAATAGGATGACAGTATGCATTTCTAATGGTGTAAACTACTTTAAGTTCATTTTTGATAATTTTGCATTTATATGGTATTCCATTGACATCATTGATATATTTATTGTTCAGATAATAAATTATATTTTAATGGTAACATATGACAAATTCCTCAATGTTATCATTTATTTCAGTTGAAAGCAGAAAAAGATAAATGTTACGAACAGAAGGAACTGATAGAGAGAGAAAGGGATAAGGCCTTAAGAATTGTAAGTTAGTGTCTTTATTTTTATTCTGCACTTACGCATAATTTTAATTGTAGCTTCAAGAGCAAGCCAGAGAGTCGGAATATAATAGGAGAAAACTTGAAAGGGCCAGACAGGAAGTGTTTCATAATATGACAAAAATAAAGAACGAAAAAGAATCTTTAGAAAGAGAGGTAACTCGGGCAACCCTTCTATCATTATATGAAGTTGTTTTAGAAAAATTTAAAAAACATGAAACAAAATATAGTATTGTAGAAGACAAATAATCCTGCCGATTTATAATATTTATTCAGTCGAGCTTTTTGACATTTTTTATTTTTGTAGAATGATCAGTTGAAAGAAGCCTTAGAGGCAGAACGTAAGGGCATGGAAAAATATTTAATTCAGGTGCAAGGAAGGAGGGTAACTGGTAATCTAGATTACATGGACAAGCAGGTAGGCAAAGAATTCACAGAATGAGTCACCATATTTATTGCCGACAGAATAATAATTGATACATTAACATAATACTGAGTAATTATATCATCATGTTGAACAAGCCAATTATATTTTAATTTTTATAACACTGATGATTTTTCATTTTAGTAAACAGTTTCGTTTACTAAACTACACATATTTTATTAGTGTTTAGTTTTTGTAAATATTTTTTTATTTTGTGTCAATCTTAGATAATAATTAGCATATTTCAGAATCTTTAATTTTTAATTTATTAGAGTAAGTTTCCGGATGGTAACATTGAGTATGCAGACTGTAATGTAGGTTTAAAGAAAATTAAGATTTAATATTATTTTGATTATTATCATCTCTGCAACAAATGCTGTTTTGGGAAATTTCTGAAACAAAATCTGCTAAACGTTAGTAATAACATAAATATCCTAAGAACACTATATACAGTAAGCGGCAGCTTAATGCGTACGTTGGTGGATATTAAATACATATTAAATGATACATTTTTATGTCATGGTTAGGCGAATTTACTTGGGCCGAGGGGGGCTTAGTTGTACATAGCGCTAAGAGGGGGGTCTTAGCGGAAATCTAAAGAGCAACATTGCCAGAACTAACTGTAACTCTTAACTCTGCATAATAAGTCTTTATAAAAACCCTATATTTACAAAATGCATTGATGTACGATCAATTAATATAAGCCAATTTAATTTTCAGACCGCGTTGCGTATCGTATAATAAAGTTTACTGTTATCTTTTTTCAACCCAACTACTGTGAAATAATTTTAAACAGTTAATATTACTTTACAGCTGTGAACAATTTTAAAATATCTAATAGGAATATTATGTTGATATGACAACAGCGAAACAGGGCAGAACGAACGGTTTAATGGTTCGGCTTCGGCATACAGAATTTCGGCGAATCGCAGACAGAACTGCATCTGAGCACGTCAAATTCAAACTGCGCCAGCGCTCGGGGACTAGACGTTTGTTGTCATATGCGAATAGTAGTTCGAAGGAGATGTACTGGCGTATGTGTTTTAGCTTACACACATACGTAAAATCATTGGCAAATGACAATATTGATTGATAATACGCACTTCTACTGAACAAAGAAGTTAAATTATCAATTGCCCTTCATTCGGCGATGTATGCATTAGGGTACCGCTTACTGTATAGAGCTTGATTAAATTTAATAAGAACTACAATTGGTAAACATATTTTGATTCACTGCTTCAAAGTATTTTTTTTTGAGTAATGTAAATATGAAAAATTTAAATATATTTATACTTATAAATTTAAAACAGTTATCTGTTTTTCTTTTTTTTTAGACAGAGGAATTGAAATTAGCAGAACATTCAAGTGATGCCCTAACTTCACAATTTCAAAAGGCTGTGCAACATTTAGCTACTTGTCGCCAAAAGAAGTGTTCTGTTTGCGCTTACACTAAGGCAACATATCGTAAGATGTCACCACATCATCGAAAATACGAGTATAACCTCTATATATTTTTTTGGTCTGGATTTTTTTATCCCCAACTTTTTTTTCAGCCGTAAATTGTTTGGATGCTTGCAGACTCCATTTCTGGAGATGCGCAACATGATCAAACCGCCTCCATCCCCTATCCATTGCGAGGGGGAGAGCTTATCTGAGTGGTTTTGTCATCTGAACAGAACCGCCACCCAAAGTGAGTGCTCATCGTTAAGTGTTCCATTCGCTGAGTTGTCCATATCTTATATGGATGACGCGTCCGAAACGTATTCAAATTATCTTAGAGATTGTGATAAAGAAGACCAAGATGTTTTAAGTCAAGTAAATTATAACAGTATTAGAGGTAAGTAAGCACCATAACCTTGTTTTATTCTTCTATGTTTTAAGCGGTCAGACTAGGCTGCTTTACCAGCCGCTGGTGGCTGCTGGCTGTAGCATCCACAGCAAGCAGCGGCTGGTTGGGGTTCACATTCTTGCGTTATTTTTGCTGCTGCCAGCGAGAAAAATCAGTTTTGAGTTGATTATACTAGTGAAAGATATGTCTTCTGTGGCTCCACGGAGAATGAATATTTAGAAACTCTAAAAACTTTCTAACACCAATAAATAAATAGGAAAAACGTGTTTGTTTTTTTTTTTAACAAAAAACGGGCCTATCTTCATTTCCGCTATGTCTAATAATAAGTACATATATCGAACTTACCAAATTTGAACTGGACTCCCTTCCATGCAATACATAATGTAAAAAAAGAATTTGCCGTTGAAAACCAGGCAAGCTTTGGTATGTAAATGTCTTGGGTCCCAGCACCACTCTTTTTTGATTTTGTAACACGATTTACTTCGTTCCGATATGTATCTCGAATACTTTTTATTTTCTTTTTTTAGAGCTTCCACAGTAACTATTAAATCGACAACATCTAATTATTCAACCAGGTTTCTGAATGCTTTATCCTTGACATATCTTTTAATATATCCCACAAACAATCATACTTTTGATTTATATTCAGGAACTGAATAATTTGATTGGATGTCCATTTAATTTCCGCCATTATTTGGTGTGAATATTCACTCGCTTACTTGCAAAATTAAATTAACAGCGCCACTAGCCACTAGCAGTGCGCGTGTGAGGGTTCACACTAGGCGATTCAAGCACTGTTAACAGCGTGAAGGGAGTCACGTGACCAACTAGCGGCTACTAAAGTTGAACATGCGCTACTCAACCAGCCGCTGGTAATTTTATCCGCCGGCTTGTAAAGCAGCGGCTGCTGGGACTTCACACTGCGCTGTTAGCAGCCAGCAGCCAGCGGCCACCAGCTGCTGGTAAAGCAGCCTAGTCTGACCGCTGCTTTAGTTTTACTGCGTTAGCAAACAATTTTAAACTATTTGTAAGAACAATATAACAATAATAAACATATTTCTTAGTGTTACGGCAATGTCTAGCTGGAGGTTACTCAACTCAATCTAATAAAACTAAGAAAAATATTTAAATAACACCCACACCACAGAAATTGACATTCTCCCTCTAGTTATCATTATGATTGTGTCACAGGGTACTCTGTTTTCACTTTTCCATATGTACTCTACACATGGAAAAGACGTAGGATACGCAACCAAACCCTGTGACATGCCAATAGCCAGAAGTGGGATTCGAACCCGCGCAGATATGTCTCTGAGCATTGCAATCTCTCACCTGGCGCCTACCAACTAAGCTATCACTGCGGCGATAGACTAAAATTTAATATGTCTCTTCATAAATAAATGACTATGGTAATTGTTAAATTGATATTAGTAACAAAGGAAAAGAAATGTATAAAAAATGTATAAATGTATCTATTAGTACCTTTATACAGTATTGAGATTTCTAAATGGCAAAGCATTTTTTGCGCATATGCTCCTCCCATCAAGCTCCACCTGTGTCGCACATGTGCATCTACATGCCCAATCCACGTTCAGGCGGTCCACAGCAGACCATTTGCTTGGTTCCACACTGTCCATTTGCCCATTTGCCCATTCCACACTGCCTTCCATATCAAATTTTTTAGCTGTTAAGGGGGGGACAAGGGTCGGAAAATCGTTTTTTTTTTTTCTCTGATACTACAACTTATAAGAAATATTGTCAGAAAATTTGAAGTCATTAGGAGCAAAACTTTTCGAGTTATAGACAATTGAGTCTCCGGGCGCTCGGTCTCCCTTGATCGTCATTACACTCGGCGCGGCAAGTGGTTTGTAGCAGCTGCTCTTTTCTGTTTCTCTCTTTCTAATTTCTGTAGGCAAGAATAGACTCGTTTGTTGTTATATTTTTAAAAATATACCTGATTTTAAAATGGTTTTTTTGAAAGACTAAACTGAGTTAGTTTGGCATCGTTGGCATCATTATTTATGTATCAAACTTTGATCGCGTTTTTTCTCAAAACTTTTGTTTTAAGTCGGTAGTCAAAATTTCTCGAAAACCTTAGGACCGATTTCGCCTAAACTTTGCACACTTCTTCTTACATACTAAATACTCGATTCTGAATGAAGAATTTCTTTGGTAAAAGTTCAGTTTAGTGACTTTTGTGAAAATGGTCAAAATTAAATCGGATTTTTTGCTAAAATCGTTGCTTTTGTTATAAAAAGCGATTTCAAGCCGGGGGAGCAAGGCTTTTGCTGGCGAAAATGCAAAAAAATGCGAAAAAAGTGTGCGATTATTGCATATTTAAACTCCCGATGTTGACCGAAAAACTGGCTGATTTGACAAAAATTAATAATAAACTAAGCCTTTACTTCCGATACAATCCCTTTATGCACTTAACACATCAAATTACGTGCGAAAACTCCGAATCACTCGCGAATAAGTGGAATTGAGTTGACGTTCGTCTGACACCAGCTGTCACAGCTGTTATAGTCGGCGGTGGACGTTAATGTTTTGTGTGTTAAGGCGTATTTGCATAATTTTAATAAATGCGTTTATTATTAATTGTCGCTTAAAAATCCAAGCCATTCGTTACACATTCTAAGTTGACTATTAATTTCCTAAAAATGAAACATTTTTTATATAAGGTGTCTGTTTATTTAACTATTTTTATAAATATAAATTTATATTATATACATATAATCATTTTACCAATAATTTTTTCAAGAAAATTCGTTAATTTTAGGACGGTAAGAAATATTTGCTTCTGTACTTACGGTTGAAATTCTGAAAAATCACCATGTGAACCTCAATAATTTGGATAATTTGGAGAATAAGAAAATATGGCTTATTCTCGCCAAATTTTTCAACGTTTGCTGAAGTTGACGTTTCAACGTGCATACGCCTTAACATCCACAGCGGCAGTGACAGCTGGTGTCAGACGAATGCCGTGAGTGATTCGGAGTTTTCGCACGTAATTTGGTGTGTTATAAGTGCATAAAGGGATTGTGTCGGAAGTAAACGGTTAGCTTATTATTGATTTTTGTGAAAATCAGCCAGTTTTTCGGTCAACATCGGGAGTTTAAATATGCAACAATCGCACACTATTTTCGCATTTTTTTGTATTTTCGCCAGCAAAAACCTTGCTCCCCCGACTTGAAATCGCTTTTTTATAACAAAAGCAATGATTTTAGCAAAAGAAAACATTTTTTTAAAGCCATTTTCACAAAAGTCACTAAACTGAACTTTTACCATTTCTTTTTTTTTCAATTACAACTTATTTTTTTAATTAAACAAAAAGAGCAATTTTTGACAAAAATCAGTTTTTTTATTGCATCTTTACCAAAAATTCAAAAATGGATATTTTGTTAATTCCTTCGTTCAAATCCAAGCTAAACTTATGTACTAAAGACATATTTTTGGTTTTTTAATTTTGGATGAAGCAATCATGAGTTATCTACCACTGGCTTATTTTTTCTATATTTTTTTTTATGAAAATTTAGCAGAATATTCTTAGAATAATGCTTAATAATGAAAAAAAAATTAAAAATATTAATAAACAAGGTACTCTGAAAAAAAAAAATCACAAAAATATGCTTTTTTTTGTATCAGACCCTTTTCCCCCTTAAGATTTGCTATCCCTCAGTCAATGTCTGCCATACCAGTATGCATTTATTAGGAGCTTTGACAAGTTCAGTTTTCTTTGTTGTTTGTGATTTTTATTCAATAATAGTTTTTAATACCTTACTATCTATTTATAAATAGGTATTGTTAAACACAACAGAATTTTAATTTGTTACCACAGCTATTTTTTAAAGAGTTTTTAAAACGCATACATAATATACAGGGTACATTAAAATTTTAAAGTTGATGTAACATTTAGAAATCACTACAAAATCAAGTTCTATTAACATAAAAAAAGACAATAGAAAAATATTTTATACATTTGGCCATTGCAGTTTTGTGTCTAATAAAGCAGGTCCACCTGTATATCTAGGTGTAAGTTGCTTAGTACAAGTATTCTGGAGTCATGTAGAGGTCTGCAGCCAGGGGTACATTTCAGGTCCGCATTTCAATAAATTATGTAATTCAAAATTCGATACAGTAATAATAAGTACAATAAAATAAAAAATAACAAACTGAATGTTCTGGATTCTGAGAGGGTGGGAGGGTAGCCTTCAGAAGACCACAGTACTGCATGTTATTCGATCTTGCACGGAAATTATTTTGGTTATATCGCAAGCTTTGCGTCTATGAGGGTCAATCTATTGTTTATTTTTATTATTAGGGTTCTATTGGGTAAAGGTTAAATATGTCCCGTCTACTTTTGTTGCGAGATACTGTTGAAAATGGATAGGAGGTTTGCCGGAGCTAGAATTTGACAATATTTGACAATATAACTCCGGTGTAAAATTTGTAATGTAATACTGTGTCATGGCGAGTGAAAGCATGTATTGCTGGCACTGCAACTGTTCATGAAAGACGGAAAGCTGAATAGAAATACTGGCTTAGTTAAAATGCTAATAGCCTGTAACATTCCACGGAACACAGTCAGTCATCTCGAGCTTACTCTTCTTCTTGGGTGTTTTTTGTGTTTTCTTTGTTTTTTTCTTCAAACTGCCGCCATTTTGTAAGAAATCATTGTTTTGATTTGATCTTGTGTACCGCTCTAGAAAAACTAATATAGATTATGGAGTTTTTTTTTGTTCTAGGAGCAGTTAAAAAATTGCTACATTTTCCAATCACGCCATTTTGTATTTAGTATTAAAAAAATATTTTTTTTGTACTTTAATATGTACTAAATAGACTCTCAAAACGATTTTTCAATATTTTTATTAATAGCTGAGAAAAATCTCCCAATATTTACCTTGATTTTTGACTTTCTAGAGTGATGTAACCCCTTAAAACACTAACAAGTGATAAGACAGTCTCGACTTTGAAAAAGCCATATACTAATAAAGTAAAAATTACTTGGTATATCTAATAAGTGTTTAATAGGCTATTCAGAGAAATACAGTTTTTTTTTAATTCAAAATTTGATATTTTCCCATTTGATGTTGACTGTAGCGGTCATGGTACACAATTTTTTTTTATTTTTGTGAAATCACATTTAGAAAATAACAAGGTATGACTTATAATTTTGGCAAAAGTTCAATGAAATGAAATAAAAATAATTTTACGTCATTACTTTAGAATCTGTGCATAAAGTATAAGTACTAAATATAATCATGAGTAACCATGATCTGATAGATATTATTTAATAAATAGAAGACACCTATTTGATAAATCTGGATGTTGTGAGAAATATAGACATCCAAAAAAAAACGTAATCAACTCTGGCTATGAACGAGAGAGATGGAAATAGCGGTCATGTCTAAGCTTTTCGATTATGTCAAATTTTTGACAAGTGACTGTCACAATTTGTAAAATAAACAATGGCTGTCATATGATGTGACAAGTACATAAGGTTATAAATTCGATTAAGAATAGAAATACGTCTTTTTTTTCTTGGCCAACTTTGATGACGTTTTTTTTGGATGTCTATATTTAATACTGATGCGAAACAATTTTTAGGTTATGGAAGTGACTCTGGTTTCTCGTCTGATATATGCGTTGAGTATAAGAGTAATGCCACAACGCCAAAAGAAAAGTTTTGTCCAAATGCCATACTGGACGAAGTGGAGTGTGCAAAACTGACTCGAACAAAATGGACTGCATCATTTCGCAAATTGATACGCAGGATAAAAAAGTAATTCCAGATCATTACTCCACTAGTAGATAGAGATACTCATAATAATTGTTAAAAATTTGAGACTTGAATATGAATTTCTCAGTGTTTTACACTTTGAAAATATAGTAATTGTTGAGAAGCGTTTTGCTATGCGACTGTATGTTCAATGAAAAATGAACAGTTTGGCAAAGTACTTATATAACTTACTATTTATAGCATGTCACATATGGGTTTTATTCCCTGGGTGCAAAGCTGTACAGTACTGAATAATTTGATCTGCTTTCATTAGCAAAAGAATTGGACAAACATACATTGAGTGTATTTGTTAACCTAAGAATGATCAATATCGCATTTTCAGCAGGCAGTAATGATTTAAAAATTCAATTGGAGTACTCTTATACCTGTTGAAAATTGAACATTAGGATAGCATAGATTTGGAAGAATAGTGTTTAGGAGATTTTGTAAATCTTCATTTGATACAAAAAGTATCCACATTTTACGGATTTGATGGACAAGTATTTGATCAGATAGTCTCTTAGCGAATATTTTTTATTTGTGGTAGTTATGCAAATTACTTCTCAGGGATTGTTTTATTTAAAA